TTCACCAGTGAAAAGCTACAAAATTTGACCTTGACCCCTGACCCGATGACCTTGACCTTAGGTCAGTTGACTCCTTGTTTAATTCTGATCAACTTTGCTTCATAATGTCATAACAAAATGTTCATCAGTGAAAAGATGTAAAATTTGACCTTGACCTTTGAACCTAATGACCTTGACCTTTGACCTTGACTTTTTACCTCAATGTGTATTTTTGTGAACTGAACATCTTGACCAAGTTTCATGTACATCGGTCCATAGATACCAATGTTATCAGCCAGGAACAAAATTTGTGGACGGACAGACAGACAGACAGACAGACAGACAGAGTGATTACTATAGGGCACCCGTATCTCCGATACAGGGCCCTAATGAGATATCTATAGAAAATGCTTGCAGAACATGCATATGTGCCCCCAGTCCCGCTTTGATGTCGATGTTTATAGAGCTAAAGCCAGTCTGACTGAATAAACGGGGCTGAAAGCAAACCCCAATTAGAATAAAATATAGGTCACAGCGATCTAGTCATTTGATATGTTTGTGTAGTTCTCAAGACATATCCATCATCTAGTATCTGAAAAATTGAGCTAACTGCATAATCTTATAAAAATGCCATAACGAAAGATCTGAAAAGGCCATCACTACATGTCCCCTTAATGTGGCGAGGGGAAAAACTAATATCATCAATTGCACTTTCTATATATTCACTAATCTCTGACATTTGAGCTATTTTTTGTAGTCTCTATATGACTAAATGAACACTGGTTATCCTTTAAGCTATTAGTTCTGTTAGTCTTTGGGTACATCAAAGGATTTTGTTTGCCCGATGAAAGATTTACAGAAACCATTAAAAGCTAGAGGCCCAGGGGTCTTAACAACTAATCCTTAATTACACTTTCAATCTAAACCTTTCTTAAAACCATTCAAAACTCCCAAAATAGTACAAGAAATATAAGGTCTAACAAGGACTAAATCCCCAGGGGCAAGCAATGCACCAAGAACATTCATGGTAGCATAATGGAATTGGTTTTTTCACGACCAGCAATTTTATGTAAGATTATAGGGTGATATCTTAGCTGTTTTCCATGATATGATCAAGGATTCAGGCTTTTCCTGTGTGACTTATCAACTTTTTGAGAGCCCACTAAATCTCTTTGCAATGGGACTCAACAAAATTTTGAAAAAAAACCCATCAAGGACTCACCTTCAAAATAATCTACAAAAGTCACTGATACAATGACTCATTTTAGCAATAGATTCAAATGGTGGCTGGAAGAAGCCAAATCTAGCTATTGGATCAATGACGAACATTGCGCCTGGTAATCGATAGATATGACCAAAACAAAAATTAAGCATAAAATTTCCCTGAAAGTAAAATCCAACAAATCACTCTGGAAAAATAGCATTTGTTAAAAATAAGGTCTAATTTGAGTATTATAATGGTAACCAAATGACCCTTTTTCTAGGGAAGTGATCTCCCAAACACATGTAGAACACTTTCGTTTTTTTTTCAGAGTTTAACATCTTCGTAACAGCCAAGATCATAATTAAGAAGATAAGTTGAATAGGGATGAAACTGCCAAAAGGTAGAGTGGGATGGAGAGGAAGTACAGAACGAACACAAATACATACAGGAATATCCAGGTTACATATGATGTACCGTTAGTGACTATATATCAGTCTTGTAGATGCATGAGTACATTTGTCAATGGTCAATATACTAGTGTCCACTATACAGGGCCGTTTGTTATACATCTCACCTTGACATCAAACAGGTCCGTCCTTAAGTTTACTTGGATCCCTGATTCTCAAATCTGTTATTTTTTTTACAAAGACATCTATTTAGACTTAAGGTAAAATCCTATTACATATATGTATAGTATTAAAACTTTCAGATTCATATTGTCAAACCTTGTGCTTTTTACCTTTTTACTGAAACAGGAAATACTATAACAATTCTATATTTCACTTGCTCAAGTTTACAAATACTGGCCGATAGTGAAATATGGCATAAGGGAACCTCAAACCGCCTCATAAACTATAAACTCTATTAAAGTACTCCTGACTGTTTCATGTCTTATGATAAGTGCAGTACACACACATATACACGTACCACGCTGTAAACACACCCTGGACCACTCGTAGATCATTACTAAATGAACTGAGGTGACCTAGCTAGGTACACATGTACTAGCTTGCCTTGAATTCCAACTTTATCTTTATCAAACAGATTATGACTACATTTCCTGATCTGGATATATAAGGACACTGACTATAGTTATCAGATGTATAAGGATAACATTTCCCTGGTATTATCATAATCAAGGTCAGCAATGCACTTTAACGTACATTATCAGCAGCTCAAGGTTAACTTCGCATTCAAGGTCATCAGTGACCTTATTGCACTTGACAGATTTCGCTGATTTGATCTTATACAGTACATCTTTGTAATTGGATCTTTCACCAAAACAAAATATGCCTGCTTTTACTGTTTTCAGAAACGGCTGTAGAAAGCTTCAAACTGCAAGCCAGCATCTACCTTAAATACCCCATGAACTTTGTCCATATTTATACTTAATCTGTCGAAGGTTTGAGAATGTTTCTCAAAGAGAGGCAAATTACTTTAAGGACTAATATAATCGTCTTCCAAAATATTCCTCTTAAAAGTGTCTTTTAGCGAAATAAAAGATAGAGTTCTATCAACATTAAAGGGTGCGTTAAGGAACTGCACAAAAAATGCAAGATCAGATTATTTTAAATATTAATAATTAGTATATTCATAAAAACAAATAGGAAATACTTACAATCAAAGAAAAACTCTAAGCTATTAATCAATTGCCTGTTTTCCTCGCGTTTTGCTTATAATTAGGATACTCACACAGAATGAAAACCACTTATCGCAAAGGTTAATCCACTCCGGATCAATTACAAATCCAATAAACCGGACAAACGAGCGGAAGAGGAGCAATATCCAGAAAGACAACAGTGGCTAGCGAACAACAAGGGTTCAAAACTGCCTACACCCGCAAAAACCCTCAAGGTGTTAGTATTACAACATTAGGACAGTTATTGGCTAAATCCAGCGTGTGTAAATCTGGAAGATTAATAACCTTCCCCGCTACAGCCCGTTAGTGAGGGACATTGATTTTCCCTACAGA